CTGTTTCCTTCACCCTCGGTCGACCTTAAGTTCCTTGTTCTGCAGATTTTTTAGCTCAATACTGTAGCCGCTAAGACCTGCGCTTGCAAAGGTAAACGAAATTTATGAATAATATTGCCACTATAATGCCTTTGTCATAGTGCTGCTGGTTGGTGGAAAGATTCCCACAATGAAATTTCGATTGTCTTGTACCTCTAGCCGGTGTCCGAGCGGATTTGGACCCCCCAACAAAACTGAGTGAAAACATCATTCTGAACGTTCTAGTAAAAATAGATGATACTTTACGTTCCAGTGCGTACTAAAGTATGTTTTTAATTCAAAACATGCGTATCGTTAATGCTTACGAACTGGCATCCCCACGGATGTTTCTTTTGACCAAGGGAAAATGGGCAAGAATTTAGTTTAATTTCTGGGTCGTTTTTTAATCTTTTCCGCGATAGTCGAACACCGCTAGATTCAATAAGAGACAAACTTGTGACACTAATTTATTTTGTCATTGTTCAATGTCCGAGTGTTGGGACGACGTGGTACAGTGCGAGTTGTGCGAGGAAAGGTTACACATGAGCTACGAGGGATTTAAGACTGCTCCGGAGGTCGAGTGGCTCTGCATTGTCTGCAGATTGCCAGGCTCTAGACGTCTTCGTAATTGTTAAGGTGTTATTTCGGATCCCTCAACAGTTAATAATCGTTAAAATTAGAAAATAGGATTGAGTTCGATTTGATAGTCTCCACTTTTGTTAAGACGTTGACATTAATGTTGATTTGCATCTGAAAATAAGCTGAGAGTTCCAATAGTTCAGAATAGAAACATTTTTACTTATCATAGGCTTTACGAACGACTTGTAATACGAGTAGTTTCTTCGTTCTTGTTCAAAAACTGTTTAATGTTATTATTTTAGAAAATCAGACTGAGTTATTTTTGTGACTGGACGCAGTAGTCTCCACTATTATTATGACGTTTCGTACCAATGTTGATTCGCATCAGAAGAAGCAAAGATTCATTGCAACAATTTCAATAGTTCGAATGCAGTAGTTTGTTCACATCTAATTCCTGCGTATACTGTACGACTCGCTATAATGAATGCGGTAGAATTGGAACGAAATGGCTGTTTTTTTTTACCTTTATTGAGGAAATGTTGTGTTGTGATTGAAAAGAACATAGACAAAAAAGCTTGCAAATAGAATTAGTTACCAAATATGATACAAAGGATGCTTAAAAGGAAAGTTTGGTAGGGGAGTCCAAATCTGCGAAGGGGGGTCCATATCCGTTAGCGGATTTGGACCGGGGGGTCCAAATCCGCGGGGGGTCCAAATCCGCTGTGACATTGGTATGATCTCTGATCAGGAGGCTTAGAAAATACTACCGGTTAGAGGTACAGCTTACTTATTTAGTCAACTTCGCTAAATTGTTATTACGGTTTGCTTCACATTTTACTTTTCCTGCACTCCAAATTAGTCTTACACTACTTTTAATCACTTTTCTCAAGAATACGTATACATTCATTTATTCAGTTATTTGGTCTTGTATTTCTAGCTGGTAAAATCTGAAGGGGCTGATAAAATACTACCGGCTAGAGGTACAGTTTGCATAATGAGTGGACTTCGCCCAATTTTTATTATGGTTTGCTCCACATTTTACTTTCCTGCACTCCAAGTTGTAGTCTAACACTTCTTGGAATCACTTTTTACAAGAGTACATTTACATTTATTTTTTTACTTTTTTTTATTTGGTCTTGTACCTCTAGCTGGTAGGATCTTCAGAGGCTTAGAAAATACTACCGGCTAGAGGTACAGCTTACATATTTAATCGACTTTGCCCGATTTTTATTACAGTTTGCTTTCAATTTTACTTTTTGGCATTTCATTTAGTCTCGCACTACTTTAGAATCACTTTTTTCATGAAAATCTTCTTCTTTCTTGGTCATGTACCCCTAGCCAGTAGGATATTAGGTGGCTTTGAAAATTCTACAGGCTAGAGGTACCGTTTCGTGCATTTAAGGTGAATTTAGCTCATTTCATTTAGTTCTTGATTTATGGAAAAACCTTTCTACATTCATCTTAGTCTTACACTGTTGTGGAGTCACTCCATAGCTATATTTTCATGCTTTGCATTCTTGTTCATCTGGCTTGTGGGATCTTGGATTACTCAGAAAACATTACCAGCCAGAGGGGCAGCTTATGTATGTAAAGTAAGCTTGACATCATTAACACTGTTATGTTTTAAATGAATTTCAAGTTAATAAAATTTAAACTAGCCTGATTAGTATTTTCTTCAGTTGTGGATTTATTTCAATGCAAATATAACCAGTTTTAGAGGAATTTGACTCGAAATTCATTTTAGACTTAAGCATGTCAACCAGATTTACTGAAGTTTGTCATGTAATACACTGCCTAAGTATGAGTGGAATTTCTTAGAAAGGAACAGTCTCTATTAGTTTATGAATGGAGATTATTGATAAGAAGTATTGGTTGAAAGGACCAACCATTGTCTGAAATACCAAAATCAAGTCATCTTCAGATAGTCATAGGATAACACGATTTTAATTCACCAAATTGACATTTCCCATTTGTATTTTCAATAATATTCAACAGCATGTATGACTGTATGAGAACCTTACAGCAAGTTATTCTTAAAAATATAGAATGGTCATCCACTATTTATGTACAGATTTATACCATTATATAAATGAGATTAATCTGTGCCTGTGTTATTTAATGCATTTCTTAATTGAAATTGCTATTATTAAAAAGAAATCAAACCTTTCCTAGTTGAATACCAACCAGAAATCCTTTGCTTATTACCAAATAATACCTACTTTATAGAAAGATCTTGACATTATTGACAGACGCTTGCATAATATGATACTGAACGATAGTCTGTTGAAGCGTTTTCGGTTTTTAGATGAATTTTCGTCTTTGACATTGCGATTTACCATAACTTGATCTTTCATCGTTGTAATATGATGCGCTCCGCAATCAAACAAATCACCACGAGCGATGCGAAATGAAACAATTTACATTTTGGTGTGTAAACACCGAAGCGGGCGCAGATTGCAATAAATAAAAAAAACATCATTCACAGTCTTAAACAGTATATTTTCCTTCTGATCCTCATCGAAGGTGATCGAGGTAGGTTCGAAGTTTCGAAGCAATCTTCACCTGCGATACAAATACCGAATTGTTTACATTTCGCGACGTAAACATCTGAGGGAGGGCTGATTGCAATGAATAAATTGGGAAGCATATCGGTGAGTATCTGTTTCGTTACTCGCTCAATGAAACACGAGTTTCGATGCCTTGAGTAAGTGACATTTTCCTTCCCAGCTGATTCTTCAACAACTCGAATTAAGGAAATCTACTGCTACTGCTCGTTATTTCATAAATTCGCGAAGCGACGCGACATGCGTGAGTGTAATATGATAGCTTTTTTCTTTATGTAAATTTTCCGTTGTCTACTCGCCGCTTTTTCAAACCTATAAGTTCTTTAAAGATTTAGATATATGAAAATTCACATATTTGCACTGCGGTGGAAAGATGAAATTAGAAGATCCTCGCAGCTAAGAACACTACTGAAACTAGTAGTTGTAAGTAGGACCTGAAAAAAATTTTCAGGCCCGTACGTGTTCTTAGCTGCGAGGATCTTCTAATTTCATCTTTCCACCGCAGTGCAAATATGTGAATTTTCATATATCTAAATCTTCATTCACTCGGATGTTTATTTGTACCCAATTCATTGACCAGCTCCCAGTTGGCTTGTTAGCTCAATTGGTAGAGCGCTGCACCGGTATCGCAGAGGTCATGGGTTCAAATCCCGTACGGGCCTGAAATTTTTTTCAGGTCCTACTTACAACTACTAGTTTCAGTAGTGTTCTTAGCTGCGAGGATCTTCTAATTTCATCTTTCCACCGCAGTGCAAATATGTGAATTTTCATATATCTAAATCTTCATTCACTCGGATGTTTATTTGTACCCAATTCATTGACCAGCTCCCAGTTGGCTTGTTAGCTCAATTGGTAGAGCGCTGCACCGGTATCGCAGAGGTCATGGGTTCAAATCCCGTACGGGCCTGAAATTTTTTTTTCAGGTCCTACTTACAACTACTAGTTTCAGTAGTGTTCTTAGCTGCGAGGATCTTCTAATTTCATCTTTCCACCGCAGTGCAAATATGTGAATTTTCATATATCTAAATCTTCATTCACTCGGATGTTTATTTGTACCCAATTCATTGACCAGCTCCCAGTTGGCTTGTTAGCTCAATTGGTAGAGCGCTGCACCGGTATCGCAGAGGTCATGGGTTCAAATCCCGTACGGGCCTGAAATTTTTTTCAGGTCCTACTTACAACTACTAGTTTCAGTAGTGTTCTTAGCTGCGAGGATCTTCTAATTTCATCTTTCCACCGCAGTGCAAATATGTGAATTTTCATATATCTAAAACTTCATTCACTCGGATGTTTATTTGTACCCAATTCATTGACCAGCTCCCAGTTGGCTTGTTAGCTCAATTGGTAGAGCGCTGCACCGGTATCGCAGAGGTCATGGGTTCAAATCCCGTACGGGCCTGAAATTTTTTTCAGGTCCTACTTACAACTACTAGTTTCAGTAGTGTTCTTAGCTGCGAGGATCTTCTAATTTCATCTTTCCACCGCAGTGCAAATATGTGAATTTTCATATATCTAAATCTTCATTCACTCGGATGTTTATTTGTACCCAATTCATTGACCAGCTCCCAGTTGGCTTGTTAGCTCAATTGGTAGAGCGCTGCACCGGTATCGCAGAGGTCATGGGTTCAAATCCCGTACGGGCCTGAAATTTTTTTCAGGTCCTACTTACAACTACTAGTTTCAGTAGTGTTCTTAGCTGCGAGGATCTTCTAATTTCATCTATAAGTTCTTTGTTTCACACAACAATGTAATACAAAGGAAACTTGTAGCACTGAATAACAAAGGCACATAAGTCGCGAATTTTTTTCGACCGTGCGCGCAAAAAAATCCTATATCCGCGTCTGACTACCCTGCGTCTGAGCGTATGAAATTCGTCTGCGCAGTTAACGTATACGCGAACGGTACTGTAGTTTCAGCTCATTCGTCATTTGATGCTCGTAGCTTGTGAGCTGTGCTATCAAATAGGCAGTGGTAGGTACATGACCAAGGAACTGACGAGAAGATACCCTTGAAGAAAATTATTTTAATTTAGCATAAGACTAAAATGGGATGCCAAAAAGTAAAATGCAAAGCCGGACTGTCATAAAAATTGGGCAAAGTCAATTAAATATGCGAGCTGTACTTCAAGTATTTTCTAGGCATCCTAAGATCCTACTAGCTAGAGGTTACAGACTAAATAAGAGAGAACAGAATGTAAATGTATTCATGATAAAAGTGATTCCAAGGTGTATAAGACTAATTTGGAGTGCAGAAAAGTAAAATGAGCAAACCACAGTAAAAATTGGCAAAGCTGACTACATATGCAAGTTTTACCTCTAGCTGGTAGTCTTTTCTAAGCCTCCTGAGATCTTACCTGCAAGAGGCACAAGACCAAATAAAAGGAAAAAAATTAAAATGTATTCTATATACATTTATATAGTATAGTATTTATATACATCCAAAGAGTGTAAGACTACAACTTGGAATACAGAAAAGTAAAATGTGTAGTAAGCCGTGATAAAAATTGGGCAAATTCCACAAAGTATGCAAGCTGTACTTCTAGCTGGTAGTATATCTATAAGCCCCTTAAGATCCTGCCAGGTAAAGATACAAGACCAAATGAAAATAAATAAAATTATATTTATTCTTGAAAAAAGTGATTCAAAGGAGTGTAAGACTAATTTGGAGTGCAGAAAAGTAAAATGTGAAGCAAACTGTATTAGAAATTGGGCAAAGTCAACTAAACATTCAAGTTGTATCTCTAGCTGGTAGTATTTTCTAAGCCTCTTAGATCCTACCAGCTAGAGGTACAAGACCAAATTAAAAAATAAATGTAAGTGTACTCTTGTAAAAAGTGATTCCAAGGAGTGTAAGACTACAACTTGGTGTGCAGAAAAGTAAAATGTGGAGCAAACTCTCATAAAAATTGGGCAAAGTCCACTAAGTATGCAAGCTGTACCTCTAGCTAGTAGTATTTTATAAGCTCCCTAAGATCCTGCCAGCTAGAGGTTCAAGATCAAATAAAATAAATAAATGTATATACGTATATACTTGAAAAAAAAGTGATTAGAAGTAGTGTAAGACTAACCTGGAGTGCAAAAAAAATAAAATGCGAAGCAAGGCGTTGTAACAATTGGGCAAAGTTGACTAAATATGTAAGCTGTACCTTTAGCCGGTAGTATTTTATAAGCCTCCTAAGATCCTACCGGCTAGAGTTACAAAACAATAGAAATTTCATCTTGAGGATCTTTCCAACCAGTAGCACTAAGACAAGGGCATTATAGTGGCAATGTTATTCATAAGTTTCGTTTACCTTTGCAAGTGCTGGTCTTAGCGGCGACAGTGTTAAGCTAAAACTCTGCTGAACAGGAAACTTAAGATCGATGAGGGTGAAGGAAACAGCCATACAAAATTTAGCGAAATTTCCTTGATTTAAACTCAATAATGTATTTTTCACATGTAAAGCATGTTATAAAGTTTGTGTCTGGTTCAATCACGTTGCTCGATTGTTGGTAAATCAGAAATGGTGTCACTGTAGTAGTCCGCCATATTGCAATGCCCGACAATTTCCGATAATCACCCGACTCGGAAACTCATAACTAGTGCTCCTCGGGTGTACCTCCAGCCGGTAGGCACAACCCAATTCCACTTCCGAATCTAGTCAAACGTCATTTACTATCGTCCACAAGATGCCCCTAAAGGAGCAAAGGAGTGAGTCACTGCCTTTCACGACGGCAACGACCCAGATATACATCAAACGCTTTCTACAGCTTGTACAATATAAAATTATATGTTCATTGAACTTAGCTTATGTTTTTAAGAACTTGGGTTATGTTTTTAAGAAAACATAAATGTGAAAGAGGAAATCGACTGCAGCAACTTTCGGCGGCCGTATTGACTACTTTTCGAATAGTCGTCTGACGTCAGTGTTTTGACTATCTAATGACGTCATTACGGACGTCCCTTTTAGCCGCGACTTACTGTCACAAGGTAATCACCACCTCGGCATATTTCGAGAAAGTATTGGGTTGTGTGGCTCACAAAGATAGTGGCCTTCGTTGGACCAGTTTGGAAATAAGACAGGTAAACTATTTTCTCTTATGACTTACTTTCGCTGACCGATTTTCGGCCCGGAGGATTTTCTGCATGGAATTCTCGTTCCATTTCGTAAATTGACTTCCGCAAATTATAAATTTCCATTTTACAAACTACAGAGTCTTAGTTCTAGTTACGGATTGAAGTTGCAGATTTTACCTCGCAAATTACAGCAAGCATCAAGCGCTACTGCCACTGTAGCCAGTATGCATTGCAGAATATAATCGGCGACAAAACGAGTTGACATGTGGCATCATATAGAAATATTCTAGAGCGAGAAATGTAGTTCGCTGCAATACACAGCTGCACGCTGTTGCGCAATGGCATAACACCAAGGTGCAAGGAACAAAAGATGCCTGCAATACAGGCCTCTCATTAGAGCGAGTAAACTTTGCAAGCACGCGATTGTTTATCCGGCCGGCCGGCCATGTTTGATTTAGAGTTGGAAATAAAGGCAAAATTGTGCATCAAAATACATTTACGCGTTTGCCCTCTGGTAGACATTTCAGTTTCTGTACAACAAAGACAAAGAGAGTATCTGGAATCGACACTGAGTTTGTTTATTAATATTCTGATGGCACATTGAGGAGGTTCTCGTGGCAGCGTGGAAGTTTCGGATTATTTAAGCGTTTCGCGGGAAAATTAAGTCATTCTAGGTCGGTCAGTCTTATGTGCCACTTTCTTTTTCAGTACGTGGTGTAATTTTCATTTTCCGTCTCCCTGTAAAATGTCATTACAATCATGATTTTTTTCCTTTGTGATTAATAGTGTAACCTGGTTAGTTTACCCTTTCCTTGGGGTACTGTGCTGCTGCATTAGATGAGGAATACGTTTCCACATATTTTTCTGACCACATTAAAAGAGTGTATTTTTCAATGGTCTTTTATATCTGGCATAGCACAGGTTCTTTTCTTAGAAACCTTCTGCTTCACTGTAATTTTCACTACAAAAATTAAGATTGTATCAGGATGCGTAGAAGTAGACCCCTCGGCTAACGGGGAAACGTTTTACAAAGGCCCTTACATCTTTTTTTTGGTTTGATCTATGGGCAAGGGTAGGGAGGGGGGTGCTTTCTTATTCATGAGAAAGATGAAACAAATTGGCTTAACCCCCAGATGTCATAAGGATGTAAATTCCTCCCATAACATCCATTTATTATCCAACAAACAGGTAATGTCATCAAAATGTAACTTCTCCCCATGACATCCACACATTATCCAACAAACAGGTAATGAATATACTCAAACTTATCAGGTAGAAGTTTTTATCTTGATCTAACACTAAACTCTTGTTGTTAATTTAGAAGGAAATTTGTAGCAGCTAGAGGGGAGAATTAACAATCAGATCTTGGGATTCAAAGGGTTACGAGGCTCTCGCATCTCATTATTTCTACCTTTTTTTAGGTGCTGATTATAAGCTAGATCCTCATAATGAAACCCGTTAAAAACAGAGGAATCGTTGAACTGAACCCATCATCTACCGAAGTGGAAGTGAAAAAACTTTTTGATTCTTGGGCAGAAAATTATGAAGTGGTTAGTAAGGAAATTACTGCAAAAACAGCGTGCGAGGAGACCCTCGTCATTAGCGGTGCAGGACGCGCGTTTCTCCGCCTGCATGAAGATTTGAGACGAGTTGGGGAGAGGTTTGCTGGGGGTTAGAATGCTAAACCTCTTGCAGACTTCTCATCGGCTTGCATAGCTCAAGGCTTCTTTTGTTTCCATGGGCGAAGAAACGTTGACCCTAAACATCAGTTTGCATATTCTCCATAGTGTTCTCTATACATTTCTTAAGGTGCTGATAAGGAGAATTTGTTTAACAGTCAAGAGTTCTTTAGTTGTTGATCGTTTCCCTTATTCTCACAACCCTTATGTTTGATTCGGGGGTGACATTGTTGGAAAAAATTAGATGTCAGTCACTCTTGGAGGTTAAAGGATTAGTGGGCATGAGGGTCTGCTTGAGGACTATTGCCAGTGTTATCATAGTTATAAATTTTATTATTATTATGTCGTTACTCAGTTTAGGTCTGAACGAGCGTGGGATGAGGAAAATAATAGAATGCTTTTTATTTATTTTATCCAGGATTTAAAAAATTATGGCTATAAAGCACCGCAGTTGTGTTTGGAAGCTTTCAACAAAGCCATACAGTCTGAAGAGATCTTCTTTGGTGCAGACAAGAACATGAGGATCCTTGATGCTGGAGCTGGTACAGGAATCATTGGTGAGATGCTGGTTAAACAAGGCTATACAAATATTGATGCCCTAGATATTTCGCAGAATATGTTAAACGAAGCTAAAAAGAAGAATGTTTACAAGCGACTCATCTGTGCGCCTTTGAGTGATGTTCGCATAGAGCAGATACAGACCGCTGAATATGATGTGACATTGTGCGCAGGCACCATTGTTTATGGTCAAGTCAAGCCAGTGGCACTGGATGAGTGTATACGCCATGTAAGACCAGGTCAGTGCAGTACAGTCCGTTTTGTTACTATAAGTATCCTAAAAAGTGTATTGGCGTGACGTTTTCTCGCGGTAACACTGTCACACAACATCTCAATTACTTTTTTTCACATTCCAGGTGGTCTGTTCATCTTCACTCTCCGAGCAGACTCTTTCGACCCAAAGTATGGTTACTGTACCAAGTTTGATGAGTTGGAGAAGGCAGGAAAATGGAGACTTGTGAACAGGGAACTGCGAGAGCTGTACACTGTCCCACATGAAGAACGCTTCAGGGATTGTTACTTGATCACTTACAAAGTGATCCAAAACTAACTTCCAATGGATTAAAAATAGAGCTTGTTGCCATAGTTGTCAAACTCAGAAAATGATTGATTTGAAGGAGAAGTATGCTCCAGAAACCATGTAATTTCCATTTCCTCTATTAGGCCGGTCATAGTCGATGAGATGTAATTTAGAAACATCGATAAATGAAAAGTTGATAAATAAAAACAATTATTATACGAAAAGGTAGTCCTGAGGTAAATCTAAGCGACCTGATTCGTTCTCTCTTGGTCTGTATTTTGCCATACAGACCTTTTCCCCGGAAACGGTCACAAGCCGGTATTTTTGACCGCGAAAACCGGGTGATTAAAAAGCAAAAATAAGAAACAGGTTGGTCCTAGTGCCATACAATAAACTACATACTAAATTTGCTTGCTTGAGCCATACTGGGGAATATCGACCCTCAATCGTTTTTGTAGGCCACGACCTCGGGCCAACATTCCTCAGTAAGGCCCTTTCGCTCGGTTGGTAAGAAGTTATAATTTATATGTAACATTTGTACCATAGCGTATGCTAGTTCAGTTTTTTATCAGAAAAAGTGGCTCTGAACTTAAAATAACTGCAATGACCTAAATTTGTCGAGTGCCCGAAACGAACTAATTATAATAAACATATTATCTAAAGAAAAGCCGACCGAGGGAAATCAAAAATAGTAAATAATTCTCATGATCTTTTGTTTTTGCGTGAGGTTTTCATGAAAACAGCTGTTTAGTTCAGTATTTAGCAAACTTATCATTTTTTATCATCCAAAATTTTAAAAACTTTTTTTTTATCGTCTAGAGTTTCTGACAAGCATTCACTTAGTGTCAGAAAGAAGTAAGGGACGTGACTTGTGACGGAAAAAAAAAATTGACCACCAGTTAAAGGTGATAAAATGTCGATAATAATTATCGTATTTACAATTCCATTTTATGATAAGAATGTCGAAACGCTGAGGTTCCTGAAAACAGCCAGTGACTGCAAGTATTACCAGTGAGTATTGCTGAAATGTTCACGATCTAAAAAATATCCTCATCGGCTGCTAGAAAATCCACATTCCCTTGGAAATAGTCACCGTTCAATTTGTCAAGAAGTGAACTTCAAAGAGGTATGTTAGGACATGCTGTGTCACAATGGTAGCTATAGAAACAGTGATGAATTACGCTTACGGAGGGACTCGCCTAAAGCAAGCGCAATGTTATTAAAATCGGCGGGTTATCGAAAGTGCTTCGAAAAAGACTGGTTCATCCAGTAATTACTTGCTAACATTGAGTCAACTGACAACCTTCTTGGGAAAGTATCTCGCGTTAAAATTAGACTTGAAGTTTCTTCTTGAACATTTATTTCACTGGACAAGAATGAGATTATAATAATTATTGTTAATTATCATTTTTGCAAATTTGGCCAAATATTATGCTTTTTTCCCTAATATTATTGTTGTTACTTCTCTTCAATGCAAATTAAAACTGCGGATATTTTTCGGTTTTCGGTTCCATTTTTAAAAACTTAGAAACATTGACTCAGCTCAATAAAACCTTGAACGCAGACCAGGATACATTATTCAACAAGGGAAGTTCGACGCTATTTGAGGAAAATTGCAACCGGCAACTAAATAATTAAACATTCTCCATAGGACTCAATTAAAAGTATTTAAACTCGCCAGAGGATGGTGAAAGATAAGTGCAATGTTGTTTAGAACAGATAAATCATGAAAAAGTCCATTTTGCACCTTTAAAGAATCTAAAAAAACGAACACTTTGCAAAAAATGTTTTTTTTTGTTGATAAAGCTTTGTCGTGTTCAGAACAGAAGGCGCAATCTTAAAGTTAATAACATGTTTACATTCCACCTCCTAGAAGGTTAAATTGCTTGGGTAAATCTTATGCTTGTCAGTATTACTCAGTGTTTATGTTATTCCTCAGTAAATTTAAGCAATTTTTTTACTTGATAAAAACTTCAGTGCACTGTACAATGTTAAAGAAACACGGCGTTTTATTTGAACAAACGTCTCTATTAATGTTGTCGCCTGGTCTGTAATTTGATGTATTGTGATAAGCCGTTTGGGTTTTTGTTATCCAGCTTTGAATACGCGATGAGTAGCACTTGAAGCCAGCTGCACTGGTACATAGAGCTTATTTTTTACGTATTTACCGGTGAATAACCTCTAACACGGATTTCGATCACAACCAGCTGTGAAAAATAGGTAGGTACCGTAACTTAGTTGTGATATCCAACCTCAGATTCTACAAAAAATTATCTTTATTGAAAGGAAAAACAGAACAAATGTTTGCATCCTTTGCATTTTGAGGTTTCCAATTCAAACCCGCTTTCGCTTATCGAATTCAGCGATAGCATCATAAAAAAGTACAGTGACTTCGTAAAGTCGAATATTTTTATGGGAGTTTTTCAGAGGTTGTACATAAGTCAATAGCATGAGAAGGAAGCATTTTCATGAAAATCCACATTTATTAAAATAACTGATGCGTTTCAAGGATTCTAGATTGAGTATTCTCTCTGAAATGAAAAGAAGATGGAAATTACAAAGAGACAAACAAATTTTGAGGGAAGATGTCCATACAGCGCCATTCTTCATTATGCTTACAGTTGTTTGATAAAGAGAGCACTAACTGGATTGCCCAGGGGAAATATTTCTAGTTTTAATCCGCGGTCTTTTAAGTCTTATAATGTGGAGAGATTGCTTTGAAAGGGAGAGGTAAAACTTGTTTCTGAATTGTCAAAAGCAAGCACTTCTGAAATTCCATTGACAGGGGATTGGTGATTTTGCAAAATAATTTTACGTTTCAACGCACAGTATCGTCATTTCAACAATTTTATGAACAAAATCCGAATGCTAATTGAAAAGCCCTATTTGTTTATAGCCTCAAATTTTGTTCGTTTTAACATAAATGTTGCATTTTCAATTTCCGAAATCTTACCGGCAAGGTTCTGTCAATATCCAAAGTTGAACTGCAAGTTAAAAAGCAGGTTTTCATTTGGATTATTCACTCAAATTTATACTTTCGAGGAGAAAGATACCGTTTTGAATGTTACCTAGAAATTTATACAATTGATTTAGAAATAAGCATCTATATATGAATTTTAACTCCGAATTTATTTCATCCTACTACTAAGTAATAGTTAGTCCCCATGAAAACATGAAACATGAAAAAAAAAACAAGTTTCTACCTTGAGAGATACGCAGTTTACAATTTTTTTCAATGAAATGCGATACATAGACGTCAGAGGAAATGACCGGGTTATCAATCGGCCATTACATAATTATTCATTATTCACTCTATAATCTTTTGTTTTGAATTATTTTTCCACCTGATAACCCTATACATCAGTATGCATATTCTCCATACTGTTCTTCATACATTTCCTAACGTACTGGCAAGGAGAATTTGTGCATCAATCAAAAGCTTCTTTAGCTGGTGATCATTTCCTTTATTCTTGAGACCTAAATGTTTGATTCAGGGATGATATTGTAAGGAGAAATGAGACAGCAGTCACTGTTATAGGTTAAAGAATTAAATTAGAGAAATAAATTTTTTCTCACTTAGCGGCTCATAACTTTTTAGAGAATGGCTTGGTAATATGAGTGTTCTGTCCTCAGCAATTTCTTCATTTTACATCAAATGTAAATTAATATTTTGTCGAGAAAGTTAATTTGGTTTTGATTTCCTCCATTATCTTTTCTTTTCTACAGTTTTAACACTACCAACATATTTACGATGGCATTACTACGATTGATGTCAACATGGCTACTTTCATTACTTCTGCTTCCAATGAAAGCATCACTGAGGTAAGAATCCTTTAGAGTTGATAATGGAATCAGTGGCCAGTCCACTTAGCAGTACATGCGCAAGATTATATAGATTAGGGTTCTCAGACATCGCTCGAGGGTTATACTAAGTCAAATAGGTAAAAAGTCATGCGAAATTTTTTTAGTATTCGAATGAAAGTTCTGGAAATCGCTTTTTAACACAGAAAGTAAGGACGAGGATGAATAATTAATAATTTTTTACCGAAGTGAAGGTGAATGGTAGTGGATACTCACTAAGCCGCGAAGCATAATTGTGCAACTCGGCCAACGATTTGTTTCCAAAATGGCAGCATCCATTGCCGATGCTTTTAGGATAATTTTGTACCGATTGAGTAGCTATTTTGAGTCTCAAAACAGGGTTATGTAATTGCTTTATCAATTTACTTTTCAATTAGGGAAAAAATAAAGCATACTTTCTGAAGTATAATATCCTTTTATCATTTCATTCTCAAGATATCTGAGAGTGACTCGCACTTAATTTCTCCATTAAGTATAACTGCTGAATCACGCATTAAGGTCAAGAGAATAAATGAAAGGATAGCCAACTTAAGAGGCTATTGATGGATAAACAAATTCTCCTTGTCGGTTTCCTAGGAAACGTATAGAAAAGAATAGAGAAAATGTATCCTGATGCCAGAGTGTAAATGATTAATGTGGATGTCCACAATGTCTACTGTGCGTAATTTTTAGAATTTTATATTTGTGAAATTGGCGTTAAATCGAAAATACTCCTTGACGGCATTTTTCTCTTTTTTCATCACCACCTCTCAACCTGATAATTTTGTGATAAGTGTGTGGAAATTAATCAAGAGGGATTCATTTTATTTGCTTTATCCTCTCCTGGCCTTGTACAGAGTAATTCGAGCCTTAAAAAACAAATGTTGTCCCAAAAGCCGATCAGAGGGAAGGAAATTACCTTAAAGTGCCAATGAGAGCTAACAAACTGCCATGAGCGCGGGAAAATACGCGGGGAACCAAGTTGCGTTTGATTTTAGTCTGCATTTGATTGGTTAAGGGAATGATAAAATTATCCAGACAAATCACAGAACACATTGAAGAAAAACCGATGCAATCCCGGATTAATTATTGTAGACTCTCATTTCATTTGTTTTAGGGTTGCTTAGGATTAGGTATGTGAAAGGTTGAAAGATTGGCGCGCATTTTTCAGATCAATCACGGAACGCGTTGAAGCAAACCCAATGCAATTCGGGATTCATTGCCTTCATGTACACATCTTTAACTTGTTGTATTATCTTTTGTCAGTGAGAACCCGTCTATCCTTCGGAGTGAGGCAGCCAACGCTTCAGCCATCCTCAACAGACTACTAAGGAAAAAATGTTACGACAAAAAGACCCGGCCCAACGTGACTGGTACATTAATAATAACTCGCAATTCAATTCTCCTTTCCCAGGGCTGACAGACATTTGTGTGTAAATTAGACTAGTGAGGGGTATTGGGTAGCACATCAAGTGTTCAACCTGTTTTGAACCTGCTTTGATTCTGGTTGAGAAAGATTAGGAAAGACAAGGCTCTCTTCACTATATAGATAAACAGAAACTGAACGAATCGCAACACTCGATGACCATCTCTTGCAGGTCCACCAGAGATAGTAAACGTGAGTATGGCGATCAAGGCATTCAGTGAAATCAAAGAATCCAACATGGTGAGTAACAAATAAGAGTAAAGCTTATTTCCGATAAGAGAATTGAATTTTTTTTCAGGGAAGAAACTGGTCGATGTATTAGGATGGTTGAATAAACACGGTATAAAGTGGTCAGAAAACGGATGCCCCATCATTTCGCGTAGTTTCAGGGGGGACGGATGGGGGATCAATTGGCACTATTAGAGGGGGACCATGGAAATTGACGGGCAATGAGTGGGGGGGGGGGGGGAAAGGTCGTTAGAATACTAAGGAGCCTTACGGTGGGAATCAGGAAAATTTTATTGTGAAACAACCAAAATCTCCGAATTCCCCTTCCCCGCTTCCTCGGCAATAAATAATGACCAGTCCGTAATTCAGTGGAAATCGAGCTTGGTTCGAGTCAGCACGAAGCTCGAGTTCGCGAGAGATTATATTATCTGGTGTCGATTGTAAGTTTAGCTTACGAGCCTGACCTTCATTGACCTAAAGCGAGTAGGAATATTTCTACTACTCCTTGGTGGGATACTCGTATAACATGTTCCCCCGCCCCAACAACCTCCCCCCTCCCCTTCCCCGCTTAAATATCTTGAGAAAGGTTTCCTTCAAAATTTATACTTTGGGTGGAGGGAGAGTGATGTACCTTGCCCAATGAGACAATACGATGGTGCGGCCTGGGCTCGAACTCAAACCTTTGAACCAGGTGTCTATGGCACTTTTCACTAGGCCACCTCTTCACGCGAAGAACATGTTGCGGATTATGAAGTCTCAATTATTCACGATAACCATCTCATCAATTTTTTTTAGGAATTTCAAGTGTACGTATATTTCCGCCAACAGTGGTTCGACAAAAGGCTTGCTCATAAACATGAAGCCACACTAGCACTCGGAGGGACAGACGTTGAACGCATTTGGCTACCAGACACTTATATAACAAACGCTAACGACTACGAAGTTTTTCCGTCCAATCAGCTGGTCTTAATTGACTCTGAGGGCAAAATTTATTACTTTGCCTATGTGAGGATAGCTGGGGCATGTCAAATGAATCTTGTCAAATTTCCAATGGATGTGCAGCGCTGCCATCTGACTTTGGAAAGTTGTAAGTAAAGGCTGATTTTATTGTAATCTGCATGAAGAATCTTGCCACAGCTCCTTATCTGCTTCGCGCATTTCTTATCTGGATTCTCCTCACAGCCCCCCCCCCCGCCCTGCTGCCCTCATTCCCCTTCATGGACGCTGAGTCGAGAAGCCCAGGTACAAGACCTAGCCAATTCATTGTGTTGTGTTTTGCCTCTCTCTACCCAAGAGTATGAAAGAGAACTGGCGAATTATCAGGAAAATCTGATGAAATGCAGGGGGGAGGGGAACCTTGCAATGGACTAGCATCCCATCGGGGGTGGGGGGGGGAAGTATTATTACACCTCGTCGCTTCTTGCTATGAATAATGTGGTAAGTCAAGCCGCATGGGCCACACGGCTCGGGTACAGGTTGCGTTTTACCAAGTTTGGCACGCGCAATAAATAATGAGATACTTTTCATTCGCTTTATTTCTTCTCAGTTCGACATACCATTGAAGAGATGGACTTTAAGTGGAAGGAGAAGGAACCTATCGCTCTGTTCAATGAAGAGTTAGCTGAATTTGATGTGGTTAAACACGAAGTGAAGACTAAAAAAGCTAATTACATTTCAGGTTTGGCTTCTTCGCTTCTCTTGTAAGAGAGAATTCGCGTCACTGCGTAAACATAAACTTCAGTATTTGCTGTTTAGGAAAGGTCTTGAAGGTATCAGCGAAGTTTGTGCAAAAATGACCATGCTGTTGAAGTTTTCCTACGTTTTATATTTCATTTTACGATTTTCCTCTTCCTCTCCCCCCTCGGTAATTCGGTACTTCATTTTCTATTCACGCGTGGCGCACGTGATTTTACCATACTAGCCAATCACGTCAAAGGATTCTAACTTTGGCTTGAGAAACTGACGTGGACACTTTCGCACACTTTTTTTGTTTGTTTTACGGAGTTATTTTGAGTTGTTGTTTAACTTCCTTTCACACAAATTTGTTACCCTTTAGTCTCGTACCCAGATCCTAACGTGTAACCGTAACTAAAATGTACAATCGCTTGGCCATGGAAGGTCTGGGTACGAGATTAGTTGCCCCTTTGAGGTTTTGGAGATTTTACTTCAGCCAAATCTTGTGGTTAATTTGTCCACGGAGTTTGGACTTTAGGCCTTTTTGTCGTAAAAGACTTTTTTACACATGCAAAGGTAGGTATTTCCAGTTTTCTCGGCATGATGCGCTGCGGGGGAATCGGGATGCACGGTTGCGCAAGTGGTATATGCAACCATATACCGCTCCACCTGTTAACCCTTCTGCGTTCCACCATCTGCGTGATATCCGTCGGTTATTCAGTGCGTGAATTTGAGTAAGCAAGGGAGAGCTTGTGTGCATTCTCGAGAGTGTTAACGAAATTGGTATCATTGCTCGTGTTTCTGGTGATTTTGTCGGTTTACTAGCGTAATAACCCAATTGGGGTGTTGGGAGAAAACAGATGACGTCTGTAAATCACGTGCCTTTGTGGTCTATTGCTTTTATAAAATAAACTTAATGTTTCAATTTTTTAATGGACCTATAAAAGAAAGGTTTTTGTCTCAACAGGGTGTTCAAATTATCTCAGTTATTTTACGATTATGCAGTAAATCGTTGTCTCTATCGGTTTACCGGCGTTATAAGGCACGCGAAATGTCTTTACCAAATGACTTCGTAATCTAGACGACGTATTTTAGAAATAACACTGAAGTCAGTCACTCAAAGGCGCTTCAAACTCAACCATTTCTCAAACTTAGCGACATCATGAACTTAACGACGCTAATTCATCAGCGCTTTCCCTGTTTTTTTCCTTCTTGTCTAATAATTGATTATTTATAGCCTTGAATGGTTTTGGTGACTGCCGGGGCTGGCCCAGTAAGGAGTTCCTGAACTCTTCTGCGGGTCTCCCTTGACAAAAGATGTTATTTCATATTCATATGTTTGTATTTACAGGCTTAATTACCGTGAATTGGGATAAATAAATAAATAAATAAATAAACATAAATATCTCCTTAACCACCTCATTAAACTTTTCTTTTAGGGGTTTACCAAAACTTGATTGTGACGTTCACATTCCATCGTCGCATGGGTTTTTACTTCATTCAGTTCTACATCCCATGCATTGTGATGGTTTCTCTAAGCTGGATCTCGTTCTGGATGGATCGATATTACATCGGGGAACGACTCTCTCTCGGGATCACGACCATTCTTACCATCGTTTTCCTATTGGGTTCGAGTAACTCGACCATGCCCCGAGTCAGTTACGCGAAAGCGATCGACTGGTATCTCCTTGGTTCATTCATCTTTGTGTTCTCCACGCTGGTCACAGATTTACTTGTCTATAGGTTCCGATCTAAAGAAGAACAAAGGAAAATGGACGCTGGCAAAGAACCAAAGGTAGGTCGTGAGTAGATGAATATTCTTCCTGCCCGACATGTGTGGCAAACTGTCATACTTTATGGCGTTTGATAATCGAGCCCCGTAAAGCAAAAAACCTTGTAGAACAAGGTTGGAGTCCCTTTTTTTACTTCATTCCTTAGTTTCTTCCTTCTTTCCTGTCTTCCTTTCTCCCTCCAATCACTCCTCTCCATCCTTCCTCTCTCCAATCATCCTTCTCCTTCCTTCCTCTCTCCAGGCATCCTTCTCCTTCCTTCCTCCCTCCAATCACCTTTGTCCTCCCTCCTCCTTTCAATCACCTTTGTCCCTCCCTCCTCCCTTCAATCACCTTTCTTCTTCCTTCCTCCCTCCAATCACCTTTTTCCCTTCCTCCTCCCTCGAATCACCTTTGTCCCTCCCTCCTCCCTCCAATCACCTTTTTCCCTTCCCATCCACCTCTCCCCATCTCTCCCTTCCTTCCTTCCTCCTCACTCTTTTCATTCCTTCTCTCTGTAAAAAACGAAACGAGAGACTAGGGTCCAAACTCGGTCGAAAATATGCATTAAACTTGTTAAATGAACCACAACATTTGGCTAAAGTAAAACCTCCGAGACTTCTAAAATTTTCAAGCAAAGGGTAACGAATTTACGCGAACGAAAGCTCAAAAACAACAAACTAAAAATCCGCGAAAACAAACTCAATGTACGCGAAAAATGCCCACATCAGTCTTCCAATGTCAAGGTTAGAGTTCTTTGACATGATTGGCTAATTTGTGAAATCATGTGCGCCGCGCCTGAATACAAAAAGAATACAAAGGGCGGAGAGAAAGAGAAAAATTGCCGCTTGAAATTTAAAAACGAAAGAAATTTTCTACACTCTCCTTACTACCCACCTACCCATATACTCTGCCTGTTTATTCCCAATCCTTATTTCCCTTCACCCAAACTCGCCCCCTTCTTCCCGCCCCTCTCTCTGTCTCCCTCCTTATATCCTCGCTCTTTCCCTTCCTTCCCTCCTTGCTACTCAATTATCCTGTTATCCTCCCTCTTTGTTCTCCTTACGTCAATTCCCCATCCACTACCTTCACCCACCCTTCCACCTTCTTCTTCTCTCTTTTCCTCCTTATTTTCTCGCTCTTTCCTTTCCTTCCGTCTTTGACATAACATATCAACTTTATTTCAGTGTCAATGCGTTTAGTTATAGTATTAGCTAGCAAGAAACATTAACTCAACTAAAGTAAAATTCTAAAACTTAATCTCCTTACCACTCCGTGAGTCTGTTTTAGGTCAATCTAACCAACAGAGTGGTAAAAATTACAAACAACGTTTCTAAAGCAATCCGAGTGCACTGATATTTAATTTATCTTATTTAAGCCTCAGAACAACAAAATAGTGTTCCAATGTAAACATGGTTGCCAACCAAACTTCGTCGCAGATGCTAATGGCCACATTCATCTGGTGAGCCAGCCAGAGAATTCGAACCGCGTGGAACAAAAAGCCCAATGTACCGAAGGGCTGAGAACGTGTTGTGTTGCATGCTACCAGCCTAGAGACACGAAAACCGACCTCAGCGTTGTGACCAACAAGTGCTGTCGGTATATGTTTCCCATATCATTTGCTGTTTTCAACTTGGTGTACTGGTTGGCTTTTAGTACTTGAAAAATAAAGCCAATTCCTGGGAGGAAGAAGTGCAGAACTTGAGGTCAGCTGAACATCGTTGAGATATTTTAGCCTATGAGGCAGAAAATCATGCAACGTTTGTGAAGCGTTAGACATAACTCGGAGAGCAGACGGTCTGAGAATATACTGCGCTCTGAAAAGCACCTACACATGTAGTTTTCGAAATATATTTTGCACTCGTAACGCGTGGAACTCCGCAATCTATACTTTTAAGTGTAAAATTAATGAATTTCAGTAGTAAACTGGCACGGAATGTGATAAATTATGCAAACTGATCAAAGATCCTGCTTCTCTGATGTCCACTGCTCAGTGTAGCACTTCCTAGCAGCACGACAAGTTAAAAGAGATTGCGTTCGTGGGTATCCACTGCAAGTCACATCGGCGAACGTTTTCGTAATGACTGAAAACACCGTTCACTGCATATAGTGGAAAGATGTATCATCAGACTAATGATAATTAGTGACATGGATACTGTTTACAAGGAGGTTCATGCGTTTATTCACTCTCCCCGCTTGTTAGTATATAAATATACCCGCTAATGCTTATGTATTTTGGAGTTGTTCATTGAAAAAGCCTTGGTAGGTAGTTAAGGTTTTCCAATGGGTAATTAAGTGAAGGATAGCAAATTGTAATGTTATTAATAAACAATCAGTGTTTAAAAAAATTTTCAGTGGAGTGTCCTTGGTAATCCGGGATTCCATTTGTTTTGCTCCACTTCGCTCAGTGATTGGTCCAGACTCGCGCCACTTCTCAACTAATGAGAAGCAAAAATGCAACCAAACACGCCTTAGTCGCCCACGTTTACCATCGCTGCAGGCAGTTTGCGTAGTTTTTAACTTGAGTTTTCAATGGCTTTTTAAAGGTATACTCGCGCTTTAAGCAGTTTCGTTAATTGTTTTGAAGGTATTTTCTCTGTCTTCTGATTACCCATTGCAATTGTGTATGTTTTGGTTGTACGACACCCAATCGAAAAGCACTTTCCCGCTAAAACTCAAAATCTGACGGGGAAGCAATTGCGTAACTGAAACACAACAAGAACGTTAACTCAGATACTAAACACTCGCACAAATTATGATGGCAAATAGCGAAAACATTTTGCTCATTTTGTAAGTTTTTTATTCACAAACTTCAAAAGAAAAATGACAACAAGAACAACTTCGTGGGAGGAACTGGAAACAAAAAGAGGTAACATTCAATGAAGGAAAATTAGATATTTTTGTAATTTCAGAATAGTTACTTATTTTTTACAAAAAGTTTATTTTCAATGTTTTCTCTAATTATTATAATTTTTTGTTTTCATTTATATATATATTTTTTTGTGTGGCGGCTTCACAGTTTTCCATCCCTATCCAAATTTAGCCAACCGCATTTTCTGAATTTTTTTTTTCTTTAACATTCTGATAAAAATGAGGGTGTTTGTCCCTCCAGTTCTGCACACAAAGTTTACGTGGACACTCAGAATAAAATGGTTAAATTCTCATGCTTTTTATAAGTAATTTTCGATGTCTTTTTTTTTTCTTTTTTTCTATTTCTCGTTTTTCTTGTGTAACGGTTTCATTTATTTAAGCTGAATGAAAGGAATCAAAATAATATCAAAACAATATACAAATGTCTACGTCGGAAAAGTGTCAGTTTCAATTACAGACATTGAAAAAATATATTGTTTTTCTTTTAATCCAAATGTTAACTAAAAATATTTTAACAAGAAGCACTGATAATAAGTTTCGTGATCTGAAGTGAAAATTGAAGTTTCGTAAAACAGTCATGGCTTCTTATGTCGTCAAAAGTGTTTTAACAGGTACGACAAACAATTTATATATGAAAAAATAAACATCAAAGCTCCTCTCGATTGAGCCAGTAATTAAACTTCCGTTTCCGGAAGTTTATTAAAGTTGTCAACGTCGATCAAATCGATCCTGATCTCTGGGCACTTTCTGTAAACGCTAAAGATGAGAAAAAAATAGTTAAATTACATCATATGATGTGGTAGCAAGAGTAAGGCGAGCCCTAAAGGCTAGGAAAACGCGAGGGAAGAAGAGAAAAAAGAGAAACCGTGGTAATTTTTCTCTCGCGCTCCTCCTCTCGCGCGTTTCTCGCCTCGCGCAAGTAAAAAGTCAATTGTTATTATTTGCATGTCTTTACCTTGGTCGGCTTGGTAGGTTATGGCGTTCGGCCACAGCATTAAGAACATTAACATTAGGACTCACTGCTTTCCTCAATCTCTATAAAAACACAAAAGTGGAAAACAGTTTTAAAATCTAGCGCATAACTACAAGACCTCACCCTGGCTCAAAGGTGTAGCTACGATTTGTTTTAAGGGTGGAAGGTGAGGAGCACAGTCCCAAATTTCTGAGCACCATTCATTAGTAACTTATACCGCTGCTCTTCCTTGCATATCACCGGGCTCACATTCCAGATGCTAATGGACTGGGTACAAAAGTCACGTGCTTATCTCGTTAACCCGACAGTAAATCTTTCATACCTCTCTAAATGATCCCTTTGGATGGAAAATTGCATAGAGAGCAAAGATGGGAATGGTCAGAAAAGACGATAAAGCCAGCAGCCATGCTACAGCTTGTGCCCAGTCGGGGTACATGTATCCATTGTACGTGATTTTCTTCCACTGGGTGATGCTTCCCAGAAATATCAACTGTTTTATAAAATGCGACATACAATAAGTAACATGACATGTTTATCGGAGAGGGGAGGGGGTGGGCTAGTGCAGGGGTTGATTTGGCGGAGGAGTGATAACTTTGGGATTGGTCATTTGCGTTTACCGGAAGCTTGAAATTGTCATGCATCTTCACTTTGAATTCTGATTGGTTACTGGTGATTTTGAACTGTATGCTGATTGGTCAAGTGATAACTTTCAGTCACTTTCAGACACTAAATTCAAAAGCTCTCCATCAGATTTTCATGGTATGAACTAAGGACTCGATCTGTGTACGGATGAACGGAGCAAGACATATGTATTACAAATGCATAACCCTACCGTTGCAACAAGAGGTGTGACGTATTTCCAGCAAATGACAAAATACTTGCTGGGTTTCTTTCCAATCATATCTTTAATGTTATCAGAGAATTTATCAACTCCTGTAAAAAGAATAAAAGGTGTAAAAATTTAGCCCCTCAAAATCGTCATTAAAATTAGTGAAAATGTTTTAAATCATTGTTGCTCTACTGAGAATACTCACCGTATCCCCAACTGACGGCAACAGCTTCGAGAACAACCACACAAATCAAAGAAAAGCCTCCACTTTGGCTGTCGAATATGTTTAGGACATAGATTCCTCCCTGACAGAAAATAAAAAAGAAATTAAATTCTACAAAAACTCTCGAAAGATGATCTCTGCTGAATAAGTTCTTTTTTTGGTCATTTTAAATCAATAACGAATTCTCACGATCTTCAAATAATCACACCATTTACCTTTTTTACATTAAATTGTTATTATACATCCAACTCCCTATTTCTTTTCTGATTGGCCGAAAGCGCACAGTAAATTTTTCGAAATTAGCGCCTGGGACGTCATCTAGTTGCAGATTATACAATAATCATGTCAAGGACACTCAAAGTCACGGGTAATCATGTCACGTATGACCGCAGTGCATGATTTTTAGGGGTAATCATGTCAAGTTCGCGCGCTTTGTGTTCCTTGCTGATTTGTTTATTTTTACTTGTTTGGAAATTAATTATCAGTTCTACTTACTTTTTTTTCATTCAGTGTATTATAAAACAGTTATAAGATTCGGTTTTTGTGATATCCAGAAAAGTCAAGGTCTCAGTAAGGGTGATAACCTCTACATCGACCTTTATTATTTTGGATATCACAAAAACCTTTTCTAATAATTGTTTATAATCATGCTCATAATTAACAAATCGGACTCCTGCCTTGCAGTCGTCCGATTTTGTGATCGCTTGTATAAATCCAGACCGAGTTGGACACCACTTGGTCCTATTTCCATTATTAATTAACTTACCTTAGTGACACAAGAGAGCCCGATAAGATATGAAATGAGACAAAGGCAGAAGAGGCATCGTCCCTTATAAGGACGAAGTTTGGTGAAGGTGTCCAACACCGCCCGAATCGTTGTCTCTGTAAATACAAACTAGATATTGAAAATGTTAATAAGTTATGATTCCAACACTATAGTGAATTAAGTTCTTAATGAGTTCCATAGCTAGTCAGAGGATAAGTGGGTCGGCCAGTCATACACTTATGGAGTCACTTATTTGGTCAGTTTCAGTCAGTCAGTCAATTAGTCAGTGAGTCATTTGACCTGTCAATCAGTCAGTGAGTCATTTGACCTGTCAATCAGTCACCGAGTCAGTTAGTCAATGAATCAGTAGGTCACTAAGACACCAGCTCAGTCAGATCAAAGATTCAATTTGTGTAGAATAATTAGAATTTGGAATGCTCTTATAAATGAGAGTGGTGTAATTTGTCTTACCTGACTGCCGAGTCCAATCGTGAAAAGCATAAAGAAGAACATCACAGCCCAAACAGGTGCAGCCGGCATTTGAGCAATCCCTTCAGGATAAGCCACGAAACCAAGACCAGGTCCTACAATTTGATTAAAACAAACTTCTTTGTTTTTCAACTCAGAATAAAGGCTACGAACCCGTCAGAAAGATGAATCCCTCTTCCCTAACCTTAATCAAGGTGAAGACTGACCACGCCCTAACTTGTTATCTTACCAGAGGATACAACTTGTGCCACTTCCCTATTAAGGGTGTGGGCCATGAAGCCAATGACACTGAAGATCACAAACCCTCCGCCTACACTGGTTGCACAATTGATGCACGATACCACAACTGCGTCCCTGGAAACAGACACAAATACGTCAGGTGAACACGAGAATGTCAATCAAGTGGTCGAGATAGAAGTCTTTCGTCTTTTGTTAATCAAGTTGACATCTGTCAGTGCACGGTGGTTAATGTTATAAAGTTTTCTAAAGATAACTCATTTGCTCGCTCATTTTAAGTAACTTGTGACGTGGGAAAGAGAAAGCGCTGTGTGTAAAGCATATTGTACCGTTCACAGTTGTTATTGAATTCATTGTAGCTGGCATAGGTGACCAGGCCTCCAAGGCCCACACTGAGGGAGAAAAATATTTGAGTAGCGGCATCGATCCAAACCTATAAACAACAACAAAACCAGATTAAAAAACTGAGCAATGTTGATAAAGATAAAAACTGAGAGGCGTCGTGATAAATTAGACAAATGCTTCTGTGTGTATCATCTTCTTACCAGAGCCCAGTATTTTCTTTCTCACCTGTGGCTCTAAGAGCTTTTCGACGTCTGGTTTTAGGTAAAAGATGATCCCATCAAGTGCACCAGGCAGAGTGACACCACGCACCAATAAGATACACAACACAATGTAGGGGAAGATGGCCGTGAAATAGGCCACCTGTGAACAAGAGGGATCGAGATATTAATAAAAAGAAAAAATATCGTGACTGACCCTGGCATTGCCTTTTAGTTATAAAACCATTCTGGCTTATGAAATGATGTTTACCACGCTTCTGTTTTCACCTGTGGCTCCAAGATACTAAACTTAGACTTCTCGTAAAATATGTAGGATTCCATCGATTGCGCCTGGCACAATGATTTCCCATCTCTTGTTCTATGCATCTTACTGGTCCGAGATAAACTCATCCGAGAAAAGCAAGACGTATAGCACAAGATAAAGGAAGTTTGTTGTGGTTCTATCACTGCATTATTAAAATTCTCTTACCGTGTCCTACCGTCTATAAGCGATACAACAATCTAGACTCAAGCGATCATATGCGTTCTTTTTTATTGCAATTTACTTGCCAAGTGACTTTTGAAAATGTGCAAAGAAAATGCAAATTTTAACAAGTAAAATTCAGATTGATTTTTAAGACTGTACTTTCTTGGTTTACCTTCCCAGAGCTCTTGATGCCTTTATGGATGCAAAAGAAAACAGCGATCCACGAGATAAACAACGTGGTGGCCAAAGGTAAACGAATCTCACCCGGCTCGTCGATGCCATTTGAAACGTTCAAGATACGACGCCTTAAAAGACCATAAGTCGTGAAATTAAACAATTTCATTCACAAGATGATTATTTTTTGTTTGTGAAGAAACTTATTTATCCACAAGCAGAAAGAATGTGCTCTTTAGGCACTGATGTCGCCATTATTCAAGAATGTTTTTCATCTTTTCGTTTGGCCAAGAGCTAACGACGTGACTTGAAAATGTTTGTGTAATGGTCTGCTCATGCGTAACACTGACTGGCTCTTTTTGTCTTTGATGACATTCTACGCATGCGTAGTTGTGTAGTTGTGTCCATGCTCTTGTGTGTGAAACGATTAACCTCAAATTTACTCGCAAATTTTTTTCCAAATCTTGTGGAAATTAAAGCGGTGTTAATTTAAGACTGCCAAGGCAACCTATCAGTAATGCACTGCGCTGCAAATAACTGGGGTTGTTTAAATTAGTAAGATTAGCGAATCATTAAAAACTCAAACTTACTCCCAGAACTCCTGGCTGGGGGAGACTGCGGTCATTGAGCAATTGAGAGTCGTGCAGTTAGCAGTGAAATTTCTGAAGTCCTCACTAAAGAAAAGAATATTACGAAGCTGTTACAACTGAGGTCATTATTGTTAAAAATGACAAGTTCTCAAGGGTCGAAATCTTACTAAGTAGAGATTGGCGTCATTTTTCTCACGAAAAAAAAAGTAAAATATGAACATGAAAACTGTTTGCTGATTGATGTGTTGAGTAAACATCGTTTTTTTACAATCAAAGGGAGAACTTTTTGATGTCGTTATTTACCTGCAATTTGCAGTGTTCCACGAATTGCCACAAGACTTCCATGGGACAACAGAAGCAAAGGAGTGGTATAGATACAGAAGACTCCAGGATATAACAACGTTGTAGTAAATAGAGATCAGGAAGGAAATAATCACCATGGCAACTCCAATCCCTGCAAAGGAAACATAACGGAACGTTTTCATAAAAGTTGTGCAACACGCTACTTTATCGATTGTGGAAACGCCTTATTCAATTTAGAGTATTCAAAAGTGGAAAATTTGTCATGTAGAGCGTAGTAGTTGTCATTACATCTCATAATGGCGTTGCTCATCTTTGTCTTCCATATTTATTTGTGATATCTCCAAGTTACCTTAGTGCTAGACATTATTCAGGATATCTTATACAACACAAACCTTTAAGCGCAGGGCAAACCACTGCCCAAGCTTTGATGGTACCGAGACTCAAATACTGTCCGAGGGCCAGCTCCAGATAAAACAAAGGAATTCCACAGGTTATCAACGTCAGAAAATATGGAATTAAAAAAGTAGCTGGGAATGAAAAATGAAAGAAATAAGAATAAGCCTATATCCTAGTGCATGGTTTATGATGGAGGGCAGACTACGCGCGGAAGATTGAAGGAACTACATAGCTGGCGCAGAAAACAAGGTTAATATTATTCTTCAGGCATTTACAATCCTTGTCAATCTTTTCCATCCTAAGCTATCCTTGTTTATTTCCGATTTATTTTCATTTCTTTTGTTTTTATCTGTCTTATTCAAATGACATTTTTTAAATTCCCTCGAATTGAAGATAGTCTAACGACTTGTAACAGATGCACTAAATGCGGCGATACAACCTCTTTGAGTAAGATGTGTGCACTTGTAAACTTAAGCTACACTGCTAAATAAAAAGACGAAGCTATGATATGCATCTCTACGAGATCAAGTTACCTTCACCCACTCCACCTCAACTCTTGTAACAAAGATACGGAAAACGTCAGATGTTTCCGAAGCCAACAGTTTAGGAAGAAAGCTATGCTGTTGGCCTGGGAAACATCTGGCATTTCTGTATTATTATCGCCTTTTTTCTGTTTGCCAGTCTTACTCAACCAGCATTTAATAGTTTTTCTCGAATTGAAGAAAGTGTTGCAAGGTGCAAAATCAGACACGAGATGTTTTCACGCGCCGACAGTTGTAAAAAACGGTTTTAAAAAGTGTGCACTTGTAAACCTAAATTACACCCCTAAATAAAAAGACGAAGTTATGATAGATATCTACGCTTTACCAAATTACCTCCGCCGTTCTTGTAACAAAGATACGGGAATCTCCATATATTCCCCAGGCCAACCGCATAGCCAATACATGACGCTATGAAGTCAGCTTTGGAGGTCCATTTTTCACGCTGTCCGCTCGCTTCAGAGCTTTCGCCCACCTCTATAACAACGGGTTGGACCCTATTCGTCATTTGTTTAACTTTTCACTCGAATATTTGTACTGAATTTGACAAATACAAGCTCACATCTCTAAATGAACCTGTTTCCTCGCTGAAACCAAAGCGAAAAGTGATTATGATGTCATAGAAGGTATTGATGTAATTTAGTTCTGATGTCATTGATTTGCGATGATTATTGCGGGAAATTCAATGATATAATTAACTCATAAACCGAACTCTCTATTGATTGAACAGCTCTGTGATCAATCTGCTTCGTTAATTCATTACCGAGCTCAAAATTTCTCACCTCTTTTATTCTGCCTCCTCAAAGTACGCTTTTGACATTTTCAATCCTAGTCGTATACAGGACTAAGTATCACATGTGAACCTCGTAATGGCCTGACTTCCCACCGACTCTTCTGTGGCTCAGTAGTAAATCACCAAAACGACCATGAAAATGACATCCCGTACTCAAAAATCCATAAATTAAATGCTAGTTTTCAACTAAAAACTCCAACTGGCTCACATGATGATCGTACCCAGCACCTGCTAAAATATTTGTTCCAAAAGTGAAAGTGCGCGCGCTTTTCCACAGTAATAAACCGCGCTTGTCAAGCCAGTCCAATCTTCTTCTTTAAAGTCCCGAGGTAAAAAGTATATGATAGCATCACATCTGTTAGTTTCGTTTATATGATTACTTTCCAGACGTGAAAAGATCTGAAAACACTAGGCTTCTTCGCTAATGTATTGGGTACAGCACAAGGCCTTCATTACGAAGACAACATCGGCGAATCGGAAATTGAATCGTGCTCCCGAGGACTTCCCGAGGATCGTGCGAACTGGGTGCGAGTGCAAACTGGGAACCAGCTGATTTCTAAAATGGCCGTAGTGACTACCAAAATGCCCTTCTTTGCTCGTGAAAGTGAAATATTGAAAGGATGATTGCAAATTCTATCTAGCTCTACTAGAGCTGCTATTTGTGTAAAGTATGGCTGGTATATCAAAACTGGAAGAGGTTTTCAGTGACGACGACAGCTCCAGTTTTTGGACTACCCCTGCCGATGACATCTTCCGGTTTTCGAATCTCTCCCCAAGTCACATGTCCGTACTTAAAGAGAGCGGACCATTTGTTGCTGTAGTATTGTCTTGTTGGGATAATGTTTTGGGGCCAAGACTTCAACATGTGTGGAGAGGAAATGGAGACACAGAGTCCCAGGTAAAATTAGACATTAGTGATTCGATTTTACGATTGCATTTTTCCTTAAAAGTCTTGCAGAGAAGTGTGTGTTTTACTAGGATTTCTTTCTCAAGCCGATCAGTTCGGATGTCTTTCGTACCTGTTTGCTGCATGAATTAATGCTAGGATAATTGATATAAATCTTGGGAGTTAATCCTGTACTTCCAAGATCTCATTAGTAACCCTCCTAGCTGAATTCTAGACATCTCTTATAATGCTAGCTCTAAGAATTTAGTGTTGGATCAAATAATAATCCCCAATTGAGTTTTTTCTTTATTCTCCTCACTTATCTGTTAAAAATTTTGTTGATACTATGGAAGAAGAAATTTATTATGGGTCACTTGAGTGAGTGAAAGGGTTAAGTTCTGGTATATTTTTATTAAATAAAACAATATCCCCCACTTGATAATTTTTTCACCCCTATAACCTTTTCTGCTTGATAAGGAGAAAACTATTTTTGGTTACCCCTGAGACTGGAAGGGTTACAGCTATGGTAAGTGTTGTAAATGTGTTGGTTGCTTGGTGCGGGTACATAGAGCTGCATTTTAACAAGGTTTCCTTTTTGAACAGGAAAAAAGTGTCAAGTATGTGGTCGGCCGAACTCTCCATGGAGAACTCTTACGAGATGCACCTGAAAATGTGGTGGACACAAAACTATATGTGGTGAAGGATTATGGCATTGTGTGTCATTCATTTATATTCTCAGGCTGTGACAAGTATGGCATCAACATTTCTGCACTTTCTTTCATCATCCCATTATCAGAATTCCAGAATTACTTGCCATTATTAGAGTTAGTGGAAGAACGTGTAAAGATTCTTATTGCAAAGTTGAGAGTCTTACAAGCCAAGGTAATGTTACTTTACTGTTGTCAGATCTTCAGTATTAGTTAAGTTTTGAAGTTGGTTGCTAGAGGCAATGCAGTTGAATCAAAAACTTGTCCTTAAAAGCATAATAATAAACATAATATTGTGCTAAATGTCATTGAATTAGTTGTTGTGCCTTGTTATAAAACAATTCATTTCAAATCAGGGTTGTCATGAAGTTCAGCTGCCTGCAAAAATCACCTGACAAAAAAGTGGCCATCTTTGTGTCCTGAAATTTTGGCTGATGATTGCTTAGTAAACCACATTTGGTACTTCTGAGGTTATACACTTATAACTTGGTTGGATTTTGAATGCCTTGAGCTGACTCACTTTCAATTTCAAGCAGCAGACTAGTTTCTCAGCTTCAACCCTGCCAAATGTTCATTAGTCCCATTTGAAATATATTTTATTTCATCAGAGGTATACCAGCATATGTCTCAAGGTTATATGCTTCTGATTTCCTAATTAAATTCCTTGTATTTTACAGAACTTGACATCTTCCCTGTCAGCATTCAGCAAATATCTTCCTCGCTTTATCCAGACTATCGCAAGTCTGAAAACAGCAGGCATCCCTGATTCTATTCCAGTGAGTATGCAGTCTATTCATAACAACCTGTAAACATAATGTGAGGATTTTCTGTATATGAAAGCAATCTTTGCGATAATGAACACTACTTGAGCAGTAGTGAAAATAAGGCCTGAAAAAAATTCAGGCTTGTATGGGATTTGAACCCATGACCATTGTGATACCAGTGCAGTGCTCTACCAACTGAGCTAACAAGCCAACTGGGAGCTGGTCATTATGTTGGTTCCATATAAATCTGTAAAATGATGAATAAATGACTGTGAATATATGAAAATTGTACATGTGAACTGTGGATAAAGAAAATAAAAATTGGGCATGTTTGTCTTTTCTTTTACTAAAATACACTTACATGTACATGTAGTAAGGTTTCCGTAACTTAATTTCTTGACTATCATCATACCATCTGCTGTATGCAGGGCGTGAAATTGTGCCTAATACAGGCACCAATGCGACTAAATTTTTCTCTTTGGCAACCAAATCCTGAAAATTAGTCACCAAATTGGTGACTAGAATGCTTCATCATAACCTTACCTAGAGATATAGTGAATTAAAAAGATTTTCAAAAATAAATCTGCGGCAAACTTCCTTGTTAAGTTTGTTTCCAAAACACAGCACATACATCTTGATCAATGACTAGACACCATCTTGGATATAGGTAAGCTTAAACGTTGTATATATTCCATCCTTTATGGCACATAAAAGATCTTTTTCCCAACTTCCTTTTGGAGGTTATATCTAGGATGCTGACAGCGTAAAAAAATGGTTTTGTTTGTCTTTAAAAATGGCGACCAACTTTTTTCGAATTGGCTACCACTTTGAAAAATTTAGGAGCCAAGTGACTATCAGAAAAAAAAATTAATTTCATGCCTTGGTATGTGAGGGATTTTGCTCAATTATTTTACATAAAGTTATAATTTTGCTTTCTGATTTAGTTAAGTGAGACCTCCTTTGGCCCAGGACAAGCAAGCAGCTTGGATGACCACTTCTTAAGAAGGTACATTATCATTAATTTTTGTTTTGTTTGTCTTTTTATTGGCAGTTACTTTTTTAGCCTGTAGTATATAGACACCCCCTCTTTTAGGCATCATTGGGTAAAATTTGTGGTTTATTACCACATTATTGCTAACTAATATTGCTTAACCCTTTAACTCCCAGAAGTGATTAACATGTAACTTCTCCCTACAATATCCATCCACTATCTAGCAAACAGGTAATGAGAATACACAAATGTATCAGGTAGAAGTTGTTATCTTGATCCCACACCAAATTCTTGCAACTAATTTACAAGGAAATGTGTAGCAGCTAGAGAGGAGAATTAACAATCAGATCCTGGGGAGTTAAAGGGTTAAAATTCTTGAAAATTCAACAAGTAAAGGGATTCCTTTGCCTGTTGTGCTTGAAATAAAGAAGAAAACTGGCTCCCCTGTTATCTTTATGCACGCTTTCGCTTTTTCTTTGTGCTTTATCATACTGAAGCCTTTACTTGGATGATTTTTGTGAATTTTTTACTTTTGTGGAGCTTTTTTTTTACCTTTTTTTCTGACTGGAAAACTTGTACTTGCAGCTTAAATCAGGAAGTTGGCAATGATGATTCTTGTTCCAGGACTCAAAATAATGGCTAGTCAACCAACAATGTCTGTCGAAATATAGGTTTTGTCCAGATTGGCAAACATTTTGTTCAGTTGTTTAAGCATGTAAAGAACAATTTAATTCCAAGCTTAGTTCAGGATTTAAATACAGCTATATATTTTTTTTCCCAGGTTTGAGTTTGAAGCTGGGTATAGAAAAAAGAGCTTGACTGATGTACTTGTTTTATTAGAGAGGGGAGGGGGGGGGGGGTTATTAAGATGTGCAGTAATGGATATTTATCCAGCCAAGAATGGGTTGTGTCCAAGGAAAAACAGCTTTGACTGGACAACTTGATCAGCACCAGCCAAGAAATTATTTTGGATCTTTCTCAAGAGGAATGGAGTTTTTTGCAGCTTTTGCTGTGCTCTGAAGTACAAGCAACAATGTTATTATTGTGAATCCTTTTTTAACTGTACTTGTGTGTTTTGTTTTGGCAGAGTCATCACATCTCACTTGCAAACATTTGGAAGTACTCTTGTTGTAGGGAAAGCCTTGGATAAGGTCAACTTGGTAAGCAACTGATTTGAAACCTTAAGAAATTTATTTTTATAATTATTTCTGTAGCAGGTATTTAAGTGGAGCTTGGTTTTCTGAATATCCTTTCATGAGGAATAGTCAATGATCAGAAATTGAAGCAAACCCTTTATCTCCAGAGATCTGATTGTTAATTCTCCCTTCTTGCTGCGGCACACTTCCTCGTAAATTACTCATGAGAAGTTGGTGTTTGATTTAGGTATTAACAACTTCTGCCTGATAAATTTGAGCATTCTCATTACTTGTTTGCAGGATAATTTATGGATATTATAGGAAGATGTTACATGTACATGTGAATTACTTCCGGGTGTTAAACATTCTCAACAGAATGCAGATTAAGAGTGAGAGATCCCATCCATTTTTTTAAACAAAATGTATTGTTTGATTTCCCTTGATTGTTTCATTACAGATGGTTAACACTTTGGCATTGATGCTTTCTCCTGAAGAGCGTAAACGGTCGCGGTATGCAGTGGATACATTGGCTAATGACAGCAGTGACTTTTATGACTCTGACTTATTTGTTCAAGGCTTGTTAAAGGTACTTGTTATGACAGTATGTTTGTACTGCTGGCAAATTTGAAGGAAATTTTACATGAAATCTTCTACTAAAATATTTACCTGGCAGGCATATTCATATTTGTCTCGTTAGAAATGCCAGTGTATATTTTCAATTCAGTGTCAAAAAACCAAAACTAATTTAATCCCAATAACTAATTAAAACAAACTAAGGTTTACATTTTCATTAACCAGTGAGGGCTCAAAGCAAATTAAATTAAATGTTTCAAGCATGGGAAAATGGGAATCACTAAGTCGTGATTGCTTTTAGTTTTGCATTTGATTAAATGAGAGGATGGTCCAAGTCATTGTTTCATCATTTCACAGGTTTAATGCAAGCCAATAATCCCAGTTGGCTTGTTAGCTCAGTTGGTAGAGCACTGCACTGGTATTGCAGAGGTCATGGGTTCAAATCCTGCCGGCACAGGCCTGAATTCTTTTCAGGCCTTATTTCCACTACTGCTTAAGTAGTGTTCATTACTGCAAAGATCACTCTCATATAAATAAAAAGCCTTGTGGTGAGGTTCATTGTGCCAAACAGATGATTTTCAGTTAGGGATAAATTCAATTTTTTTCCATAAACGAAAGCCCAGAGGCCGTTATTCAAATAAACGTTTTCTACCTAGAATATAACTTATAGGTAACTTAATTGTTTCATTTAGCACAATATATACGAGTATTACTGAACGTAAAGGACAAACCACTGTCAGTAATTTGTTCTATGTTATAGTGCATTCACAATTTTTTCTTTCTGTGCCTCAGAGTTCCAAAGAGTCGTTTAGCCTTCCAGTTAAAGGCATAATCACCAGTAGTCTGCCAAGTACTCTTGTTGACATGGATACCGGGGAGGTCAAACAGACTTGCCCCTTTAACGAACACATCGTGATTCGTAGAGAGTTTATTGACATCGAGTTAGCACTTTTGTCAGAAGAAGCAGAGGATACGCCTGTTTTCCCGGAACTGTAAGTGCCGCACTAGAATGTACAGTAGGTTGCCATAGCGAAGTTTGTTGTAACTCGTACTTGTCAATCACAAGGTAGTTCATGTTTCAGAGAGCCGGACTGCCGTGCGAGAGGTCGCGTGTTCAAGCCTCAGACCGGATCAACACTCAGGGTCTTAACATATCTGAGGAGAATGCGCGGCTTTTGCTACGACACCTGCACACGGTTAGACATTCTAGTCTTCTCTGACAAGGATGATAAACCGTAAGCGCCGTCTCCTGCATCTTCACTATACTGGTTCGCAGGGGAACCTACACAGTTCTCGCAAAGAGTTGGGAACGTAGCTACCGGTGCTGTGGTCTGGCCTTGATCCAAAAATTGGGGGAATCTGCAAACATGCTCATTTCAGTCTTACCAAAGTCCCCCCCGCAAAGTATCTTAAAGCGCCATTAGCTAATAGATATGGCGTTAAAGAAATCTGTCATTACATACATCACTTACATACTTGGCCATTTTTCAATGAATTTACAACTGAAAAAATTTTAGAGCGAAGTAATTAGAAAACCTTAAGTGAGATGACCGTTTTAAAAGGATGTTTGTTGATTTAGGAATGACTGGATTTGTCCATCTGCTGAGTAGTTAAGTTTACATTTTTCATCGCCTTGTTGTAGGGGTTTGCTTCATTACTCGGAAGAAATCGGCCTCCTAGTACAAACATTCATGCATGATGTAAGTATTCTGTGTATTGAGAACACCTATTCTTGTGTTATGCTCGGCTGGTGAACTTGTTAGGCTTCGACAGAAAAATAATATGGAGCGTGTTTGGCCCGTGAAAGCTTATGGGAATTTTTGGAATTCATCGGCAGAGTTGAGTCTCTGACACGAGTTGTGTCACCTCACAATAGTGCTATGATCTACTTTTTATATGAATTTCTTTAGTTTATTTCCCACAATACATCTAAGCACAATTACAATATTTGGGAACAACAGACGCGGTGTTTCGATAATCGGCCTGCTGCGCTTCAGATCGAAAGGTGGGGCTTGAGATGTTAGCTGGCAGGTCCATTGTGTTGTGTTTGGGGCAAGATAACTCGCTCTCTTGGTAACTTTCTCCACCCCGGAGAGAGATAACAAAAGAGAGAGAAAAAGAAAAACTAAAGTAAATGGGTACTGGCAATTTAAGAGCTGACGTTTGTACTCGAGCTAAGCGGCTCATTCAGCTGGAGTCCATCCCGCTTGTCGTGGTATGAAACGACGTATAGTATTGCTACTCTCCTCTTAATGGGATGTCAGGGTATGGCATTTTTTCAGGCTTATTTGGAAGTTCACCGTTACCCATTTATACTCCTGTGTAGAGAGGGACAGCGAGTTGAGGACCCGGCCTGATCTCAGACCCAGACCTCTCGCCCTGGAGTCCAGCGCGCTAATCTTAAGGCCACCAAATCTCCACAACTTAGCGGAAGTCTGGAATGTAATCTGATTTGAACCAAAACCATGAATATTCGTAAAACTCTTTGTCGCTTTAAGCTACGGAAACCGAGCCAAGCCTTAATGACAAGAAGAGCCCCTTTCCACAAAATTTGCAAAAATAATTTGATGAACACACTATCACTGATTGCTCATTTTGTGCGCATGTTGCACGATTCATATTTCCATGATCGTGTTTTCTCTTTCCTTCCAGATCCAAATTCTTCCATACGTCTGTGGTGTTCGTGAAGGATTCATTGACAACTTCTTACGCCTTCTCGACCGAAAAGCCCTCGCTCTCATCAAATACGTAGAAACGCAATCGTAAGTATGGCCTCTCTGATCCAATAACTTCGCAGCCTCACGACATGTGAACGACGGAAAGTTGTAGCCCTGCCTTCATTCAGTTAGAGATAAGCTTTGGCGCAAATCAGTCTCCCGCAAAACTCGATGTTATGGCATCAGTGTCAGTTTCTGAGAAGCTGCGCACTAACCCTTCTCTCCCCCAACCCAATATTAATCCTAACTTGGTATTGTTTGACTGTAATTGTTTTAGGGGAGGGGTAGGCGCGCATCAATCTTGTTCTAACCCCCCCCCCCCCCACGAAAAAGCCTGAATCCAGAAAATTCCTTTAACTGCCAGCAGAAAATTCTCAACGAAGTTTGTTTGAGAAGGATCCACCAAATGAGTTCAGTTCAGGCATTTGGAATAGCGTCGGAACTGTGTAAAACTCCGTCTATTAGAAAATTCCTTATCTCCCAAGTTTTCAATAGCTCAACTAAAATAACCAGAAACTTTCCTAGGTCTTGTTATGTGAACCGTTACCTCTGACCTTTTCTAATCATTCTCCAGGTCGCTCGGTACAGTGCCACTTAATGACGCGGCTAAGAGACAGTTACGTCAGGACCTACAGCTGGTTACCGAAGCTGATTACTCCATTGTACTAACACGTGCAGAGAAATTACATCCGGGGATTTACACGTTTCTTAAAGGCGATCCCAGGCAAAACGCGGACCGTGTCCAAGCCCTTTTCGAGTCTTTTTGACGACCTTACGAAAAGAGAAGAAACTGGGGAGAAGTAACTCTGACCAATAGCAACTTATCTATCCAGCCTCGTTATCATGGACCCTTAAACGAGGCTTTAGTTGCCATTGGTTTCAGTCAGTTTCTAGATCTTTTAGGACACGCAGGTCGCGCTTTTTGCAATAAAGTGTTAGGTGGATTTGAAAAGTTTTATAACCATTCAATGGAAGACCGTTCCCAAGGATAGTATTTTGCCGCGAGATTAAGCTCGAAAACGTGAATGAAAATCTGAAATTATAAGAACTCGCACGAATAGGAATATACAAGGAAATGAAATCAGTCTATATTTTGAAAATGAATTCATTTCAATTTAACATATCAGTCGATATGAGGTGATCCTTCAAGTTTAACCGCGCTCTAAGCAATGCAAAAATTTACGAAAAACTTGTAATAATCAGTGTTAATAGGACATGAATAGGTGACTCCCGAACTGAACCTCGTCGTATTAAAATGCGCCATGTTGAACTTCATTAAAACCTGATGTTTTCAGGCTTCGGTTTATCGTTATTTAGTATATTAATTTTGTACTTGTAAACAAAACTTTCAAAAATGGATAGATTCCAGAATCTAATAAAAATAAATTTATTTCTCCATGTGGTGTATTTGTGATAATTTGTCATGTGTAGGTGATCAGAAATAAGTAATAACCAGCTTACGTATGGAATTTTTATCGCATTCTGTTTGTACATACAATGACTAAAGATAAATCTTTAATCATATCTCTTTTGGAAGCGTCGAATTCAAAGAGGAAATGATAACGCCGGTTTACTTTTGCATTATTAGAATTATTTCATTTTCAGAGTTTAGTTATCAAAGTTGACAGGCAATAAAGTTTTACATTTTTATTCAGATTGTATTTACAATTCGCTTTTCAGACAAACCGATTATTTCGCTTACTGCACGCAGAGTGGAGAAAATTAAAAGTGATGGGTTACGAGTGTGGTGCATGAATAATTAAGTTTTCGCTTTAGACTTGAGATTTGAGAGGAAATTAAAATCTTGTTTGTGGTAAGCTTAGGCGAGATAGAAAAAGTTACAAGCGAGACTATCAGAAGCATCAAAGTATTATAGCTCTGGTTTTTGCTTTTGAGGGAAAGAATCGTAGCGACTGAGGAAAGGGTATCATCTTGTATTCCTTTTTAACACGATCTCTTTTGATAATCATTTTGGTTTAAGTTTTCGTTTCCTATTACATTTCATTGATATTAAAGTGCATCCAAGATACGCCTTGTATTACCAACAGAACTTGGCGGAAATTGTCAAAGGGTTATTATGAATAAGATCAACTCTATCAATCATTGCATTTTTTTTCTTTTTTTTTTTTTGAGTCATTAAGTACGAAGACAGGTGATCTGTAAGTGATTTTACAAAACCTGAATCTACAGGAAAATTGTCGAAGTTCCGTCTATGTCTCTCTTATCATGAGTTAATTTACTGTTGTTTGTGAAATCTAACATCAAAGGGAGAATAGCATCATTTTTGAGTTCGAATAATAACTGGCTTGAGTCGCTGGTAAACTTGTGGAATCAGGTTTGCTTGTCGAATGAAACACGATTCCTCTACTATCTTACTTTGGCCTGCAGATCGTACGCTGCAAGGGAACATTGCCAACGAAATTTTAGTTGGAAATGATGGGTCCCGCATCTTACTGTGAAACAAGAAATTTTCCAGTTGCGAACGCAACTGATCTTTTCCACGCCGTATCTTTAGGCTCAGCTGTGATCATCGCGATAACTTTCCCTCTAACAGTGCTAGGAAATGCGCTGGTTTTGCTGGCTATTTGGAGAAATCAGTCGATGCGAAGTCCATCTTTTTTTCTTCTAGGTATGTTATCCTTTGAGTACTTTCTATGTGGTCTGATTATTCAACCATTTTATGCAGCAAAAGAGCTAGGTGTCGTACTGAAAAGTCAGAAACAGGAGGTAGTGGTGCCTTCGTCAGAGAGGAGTGCGGCTGCGCTCTATGTTAACTTAATCGCCGGCGGCTTCGGAACGATTTTAATGGCTACTACCATATTAACTGTAACACTAATGGCTTTGGAAAGGTGGATGCACATGACAAAAAGACGCTGGGGAAATCTGAGTCGCATTTGTAAACTGTTCATCGCGCTTCTTTCTCAGCCAATACTGCTGGTGGTGTTTCGTTCGCTGGAATTAATAACACCAGGGTCGTTCTGCACTGCTATGAATACACTCGTGATATGCCAGTTCTCAATCTGTTTTACAACAACCACCATCACTTATATTAAAATCTTGTTCCAAATTCGTCGCCACAAACGACAAATTCAGGCAAGTTTTTCATCGCAGAATGCTCCAAGGTTTTCATGTGTCAGCTTAGCGAAGTACAAGAAATCTGTGTTGACTATTTTTTACCATCTGGCACTGTTCTACTTGAGTTACTTTCCATTTACTGTGAGTATAATTTTATCGTTATCATTTGAAGACACGCTAGGTTTAAGAGCGGCTGTTAAAATATCAGTGATGTTAGTTTTTGTATCATCTATGCTCAACCCTTGTCTTAACTGCTGGAGGATTAGGGAAATTCGCAACGGAGCCAGGATGGCTTTGAAGAAATTAATCTGCAGAGGTGAAAACGAACCTCAGCCGAGGACATGATCTGAGCAAATCCGAAAATGAAAGGCCTTCGAAAGGCTAATCAGTAATATTTAGGTTAATCTACAAAGAACTGATGAATAAAGGGTGTAAGCTTTTAAAGAAACTACAGTGTTACGTCGGTGGGGATAGGACATGATAGCTTTGTTTTATTAACTATTTATTAACTGTTAATTAGCCACCTTATCGAGTTTCGAGCGTTAACCCTTCATCAGAGTCCTTGTTTCGAAAGTGGTTACACGACTCAAAGCTCTGTGGCGTCTTCATTCTAATTTTTTTGAAGTTGCATATGTTAATCACCTAATTAAATAATTTTGGTCCGTGCCAATCTTTTGTCGATCCAGTAGTCAGTTTGTTAAAAATTGGAACTGTAAAAGGTTTTTTACATCTTAATTTGAATGCAAGACAAAAAATTTGTATTGAAAGAAAAAAAAACAAAGCAAAATAAAACGGAACGAAACAGAACAAAAAATTAAACAAATCAAAGTAAAAAAAATTAAACCAACAAAACAGAAAAAAGTCCGGAAATATGGTTGGATGCTTTGTTTTCATGTTTTATAAATATTGATGTACGTGGGAAAAGATGCAATTTAGTGCGAACAAATTTCTTTCTAATTTGTACAGCTGACACCTGATCAAATTGCACGGGTACTAAATATCCTAGGAAGTATCTTTCCATCAGTTCTATAAATTTGAGCGCAATTTGTAATGAAGTTGCACGGTTTCAGCAGCATGTTACAGGCGTTTATTTAGTAAACGGGTGCATGTGGCAGTAGCGGTAGAATTAACCAAAAGAGAGGCGTTGTTTTTCGCTCTACATTGTTCAGTCCCTGTCTCATCTCAGTCGTCTCTCTACTTATATAATGAAGCGCGTGGGTAGATGGGAGGGGAAAAGGACAGGTTCTCTTTCCTATTCTTTCCCATAGTCCCTTTAGTTGAGGTAGTGCCAGTCTTTCGCGATCCCGCGGCCGCGTATTAAGATACGACAGGAGACGACTCAGTTTCAGCCCTCGTTTTATTTTCAGTCCTCTTTGACGCTACTTTCGCGCCTCGATTTCTAGATGAACGCCTGGAACAGGCAACGATCTCAATATTCCTGTCTGGCAAAAGTAGTTCTATTGTTTCACAGTGCATATTTAGAATTTGGCCTCTAAGCTGACGTATTAATATATTTAGAATTTGTCCTCTAAGCTGACGTATTAATCCCGAGATGGCTGGGATGTTCTCTTGATAAATAACGGTAATTTGGCGTTTTGTTTTTTTTCAATGTAGAATAGTTAATAAAAGTGTATAGTTTAGGTATTTTGCATTAGGGTTATTAAAAATGTAGTTTGGTACGATCACCTGAGTTGTAAACGTAAATTAGTCACCGTTAAGAGTTTTAAATCTGATGTTCCGAGCGTTGGCCCTTTGTCTCTCGCTTTGACGATACGCTCCCACCGATGCAGCACCTCAGTTTCTTTAAATATTTGCCTCCTTTATTCATTTATATGGATCATACACTGTTTCACCTTAGACACGAAGTTAGAAGAAAAGTAAGCAATAGCCTCCACTCTGCGCAGAAGCATGCTTCGTTGAATATGTATGGACAGTATCTGTTAGGCAAAGCAATTTGTTTTCCGAGAGAGAAGCACGAGGAAAATCGAGCGTGGAAAATCAGTTGATGATCAAGGATAAATATACGGGCATGTTTGCAAGTCGATTGAAGGTTACTGCGCGTACTCTTCCTCAGACAATTTTTTGCAGTGCAGAAAGCAAAATGTTTATAGGTCAATAAATGCCGCCCTCGAATAAACGCCGCCCTCGAATAAACGCCGCGCTCGAATCACCAAAAATTTAATAAGTAGTTTCCAAGAATTTGTCTTCAAGATAATTTACTTTTGCTCCGTCATGTTTGTATAGGTAATCACATGATTTCGAGTGCAATTTGGAATAAATAAGCACGAGTAATTTTTTTTAAAGACTAACAAAATTGCACGAGCCCGTAGGGCGAGTGCAATTTGTGGTCTTTGAAAAAATTAACAAGTGCTTGTTTATTCCAAATTGCACGAGAAAAATCATGTGATTACGTGTTAATAATATACATGGAAAAATACGAGATGGCTTATCATAATTAAATATAAGCAAAGCGCGCATCAAGTGCAAAAATAATTTATTCAAACCGTGTGTTCGGTCAAAACAACCGCGTACGATCAAAACAATAATAAATTATGCAATGATATCTTCACAAAATAATATCTTCTGCAAAAAAGTTCAAAGTCCGTCTAAACAGTTCAAGGAATTGTTCATTCTGTGTCCTAATCACTTTCGATGAAATGGAATCGTCGTTTCCGAGGTTTAACCCTGTTTTTTTTTAATTTCCGCGTTGGATGGCTCGAGCAAAGTGTCAAGCTGGGTCGGCTCGTCATTTTCGATTTCCTCGGCAATTCCCTTCTCTAAACACCACTTTTTCCAAACCGACAACCAAAAAGCAGTGCTTTTTACAGTGTTTTCGTTGTTTAAGCTGTTTTTCAGCTGCGGTGGCAAAAGAAAGCCTACTTAAAACGCCGGCCATTGTTTCGCTCGCAAATTTTCAAATTTTCAAATTTTGTTGCGACATCCAAGGCTCGCATTTGATTGGCTATCTATGAGTGTCTTTGATTATTGACCAATCAGAATGTCTGATTTGTTTCTTTCTTTGCACTGAATTAACCCTCTTCTGCACTGAATTACCTGAAAACTGCATTTATCTTAACCAATCAGAACTGAGTAATTTTTCTATGTATATTATTAGTTACAGTAACTGCACGGAACCCACGGCAACATGGAACCTATTGGTATTTTTTTAAAGGAGCAAAGAAATGTTGAGGTCATCTGTGCGTCTGTCCTCCACCAGACCATGACATGGTGAGCTGAATTACGCCCGCAAAAACTTGCAGGCGTAATTCAACTTATTATGTAAAATACTATTATCTACATAGACAGTAAATTGTCC